ATTTATAAAAAGCGAAATATTGCAGGATTACGGCAAGACCGCAGGCGCCCGGCGCACAGTGGATCGAGTCATCGAGAGGTTGGACATGAGAGTTTTTTACTAAAACTGCAAACTTTGATGTTTATTTCGTCACATTTTTAACTTCAAGGGGTGCTTCTGGGAGAAAATTTCACGAGAAAACCGATGGAACCACTTTTAGAACCTCAAAGTTTTGTATATACGGAGTTATCAGCGTTAACAGTTTCCAAATTTTGTCCGACCTCTCCTATTCACTCGATCCATTGTGCGGCGGCAGGCGACTAACACACCTTTTAGCAGCAGGATTTATCGATTGAATCATGCACAAAAATAAAAGTAACATTACGGAGACTATTACTGACGATCTAATTTGGTCGTCCTTAATTCGGTCATTTATTTCTCTTATCCTTTTTTTCTGCGTACTCCACCCATTGCTCTGTTGAGCTATCACTTCTAAAAAAAAGAAAGAAAACTCTGAGAACGATTCAACTCCTCCCTGAAAGTCTTTCGCCTCGAGATGTAATGAATATTGATTTCTTTCCATCCAAGTCAAATTCATCATTTAAGATTGTAATTCAAGCAAATACAGGACTCTGAATAAATTCCGAAAAACTGTATTTTTGTGATTCCCAGGATTTTTTTTACTCGTGGACCCTCCTTCCGTCAAAATTTTTTGGCTGGTCTACTGCTTCAAATGAAGCGAAACATTATCGACTCGAGATAAAATTATAACATTTCAAACTTTTTAAAAATCGTTCGGTGAACAGATACATTGATTTAAATCACGCATCACGAGTTCGAGTTTGTGCTTTGTAAACTGCATAGTGTGCACTCTATGTACTGTAAGTAGTTTTACTTTTTTGAACCGCGATGTTACATTCTGAAAATTATACCTAGAGTCATTTAAAAAGGTCTCTCCATCCCTAGATCGTTTTCATATTGAGGCAGGTTTCTATTATTACGTTCAAATCCGTGGATGTTCCTAGAACGACTAATTCCCCGGTAAAAATTGGCGATAGGAGCTGCGTTTCAAAATACCATAGGAGTTCTTATAGCCGACTGAGGAAGGCGATAGAAAATCTTATAGCTGGCTGTAGAAAGTGGAAAAAATCATACGGCCGGGTTACACGAAGCGATAAAAAATTATAAAGCCGAGCGATAGGAACTATATCCTATCGCTGGGCTTTACACTTTATCGCCTGGCTGTTGCTTTTTCGCCATCGGCTATAAAAGGCTATAAGAAATTGTGCAAAATTTTGTGTGCTTTGTAAATCCTTAAGTTTGTGCAGAATCACCCTAATATTTACAAAACGCACATTATATTTTTCTTTACTACATATTTTTTTTTTCACCAATTAAAATGAGAATAATCCACACAGAGTGTGCAAACATTTCAAAGTCATGAGTTGAAAAACGCTGACTCCACGAGATTAAATATTAGAGCCTAACATAAAGCGGAGCGGCGGCGCACTGGCGCCTACAAACCTAACAGGGATACTTCACGCATTACGCAATTCGTGAAGTATCCCTGTTAGGTTTGTAGGCGCCAATGCGCGTTTCGCGCTGACTGCCCGCCCGCCACGCCGCGCCGCCGCTTGTAGCAACTATTTCACACCAGAGGTATTGCACAGTATCATACGAAACTGAAGGCGTTCCAACATATTAGGAATGGCAGACATCCTTCAAAAGTACGGAGCTTTACTAGCAAAACAAATCAAGATACTACGGCCCAAAAAGAGAGCGGTTGTCCAAAAACTCACTAAGTCCTAGCATCCGTAATTACTAACGTTTAGCATACACGATATCCCCAGGCTGTTGCTTAATCGCCATCGGCTATAAAAGGCTGTAAGAAATTGTGTTGCCGGCTATAGAAGCTATTGGAAATCTTACAGCCGCCTGTGGGTCTATGGTATTTTGGAAGACAGATTCTACTGCCAATTTTTACCAGGGTTTGCAGATGTGTAGCATTAAGATACATAAACTGAGATAGGAAAAAACTACATCCAGCACAGTATCTCGGACTCACTACGTTTATGTGTGTGCATCATGTTGATGTTTATGTAAATCTCAGTGCGATCATTTGCGAATCATTTAAGGTAAATATTTACTTTGACGTTATACAATTCCAGCATCTGATAGATCTCTATGAACACTTAATTTATTTTCGCAAGATTAAACTTTTTTTAAGCATTATCACGTGTTTGCACTTCTATTATCTCATTTTTTTGCTGATCTTGGGTGATATACTTATGATTAATTGTGATTTTACATTTACTATGTCGTTCGGCGCCGTTTTCGCTACCGTGTCAAAGTATTAAATGCAAATACAAAGATTTTTACTTTAGCGGATTTTGCGTTGATGAATGAAAAAAAAAACTCTCGCTGCGTCAATTTTGACAACCAACATATACTTGGATGCGATAAAAAAAGGATTTTTTTGCCAATATAAAAAACTAGGAAATGTGTGTAAGCAACAACTGTTCGAAACTAAGCTCAACTCATAAAATCTCATTATCATTCATGACTTTCTCCTTCTTTTCGTCGTCATAAATTAACAATCGAGCCTACTGCTACGAATGATGTAACAACCATGTGCGCTACTTAATTTGCACAAAATTTCTTCACGAGTAAAATTAAACACAGAAATTCAGAGAAAACCTGCCTTTCCTCCTTTTTTATGCAAAACAAACATGGGTCCAGACTTTTTTCTATGTTAAATAAATTTAACACTCAAGACCAATACAAGACTAGTGTGAGAAAATAAACTTTACGATTATGTAACAATCTGTGCGGGAAAAAAAATCAAACACAGACTTTTAGAGATGCGCGAAAATAATCCCATGTTGAAAGTAAAAACACGTATCTGTATTTGGAAGATTGTAGATTTCTTGTTACTTATTCATTTTTAAAGGAATGCCTATGGAAATTATTTAGCTTTATACACTCAATTTCGAATATTTGAAACGTTCACCAGTATTTCTTTTTTAAAAAAAAACGAACAATTTTGAGAAATCGCAATCGGAGTAGGTGTTTTGCATGATGACCAGAGTGCAAAACCACGTTTCTCAAATGCGGTGCTTAAAATTTTCCGCACCTATTTTATTTTTCCGAAAATATACACAAGCCAACTTTGTAGCTTGAAATTTCTGTTAACAGAAAGGAAAACTTAATGCATCAGTTGCCAAAAAACTACATTGACTAGTGTTTCAAGCAAAAATAAAATATGACAGGAAGTCTGCAACGTCGCAAACGGAGATATATGGTTTTGTACTTTGGTCATCGATATGTATGTATACCATCGATGTTCCCGCGAACGCACGAGAGTAAAAGACATCTTTTGCTCGTATTTTCGACTGGTGAGACGAAAAACGATTGTAAAAATGTGAAATTTTCGAGAGATAAAACGACAACTGCCGCGCTTAGGAAGAACGCCGTTTGAGCCTTCAAACGTTACCAATTTTCCTTCGATAGAAACCGAGTTTACTGGGAAAATTGTGAGTATTTTTTTCGAAAATTTTCAGACACTTTTTTAGGCAATTTAATCTAAAATAAATTCAAATTTTAGGGAATAACAGGCATGAATTTCGTAAAAAATGCGTGTTTAATCAAGGGAAATTTGACAACTCTCGAATGGTCATATACGGCGTTCTTCCTTAGCATGGCAGTGTAGGACTGAGCCCTCGAATGGCATCACCTTGATTTTGGGATTGGTGTCGCTACCCTCGTAAGACTATAGACACTAATCGAGGCCGCGCTGACCTAGAATCCAGGGAGAAATTTTAAAAATATGTTGTCAAATTTTGCAAAAGAGAAACCATAAAATATTTTTGAATTATTTTAAACATCTTCTTGGATAAACGGAGTTACAATCTCCGATTTTTAGTCTATCGTCCATGCTGAAAAAAAAGTTCGGTCAGATGAACCAAAGTTCGGTACTCCATATCATCCCAACTAATTTGGCTTTTAACAAGGTGTTTAGTGTTTTATCTCGCTAATTTGGTTTGTCAAACCAAAATTTTGGGTTCGTCAAACTCAACTTTCGGTTCGAGCTTCAATGTCAAAGTGAACAAAGCCCAGTCATAGGAACCGAATGTTCAGTTACACGAACCGAAAGTTTACTCTGACAAACCGAATAATTAGGATGATTTGGAACAACGAACGTTTGGTTCATATGAGCGAACTTTTTTTTTTCCAGTGCAGCATAGTATAATAAATTGCACAGAACCGGAAGAAGGATACGACTGCAAGTGATTGAAATAAGCGTGCGGGAATAATTACGTAGTTACGTGGATAATCCCATCGCAGACAAGAAGCGCATCGAGCAATGCACATTTAGTGGTTTCAATGCTCGGCCGGGCATCGAAATCCATTTTCAGGAAAACCACTCTGCGGTTAAGTGCGCGCCTTGCGTGCCACCGCTCAAAGTGCAATTGCACGTAATTGCAATTGTCAATGATGGACACACAGATGGGCGGTATTTTGCCAATAGGAACTAAGTGACGTCAGCTATTGCCGAACGTCATCGGAATCACTATTTTTCGTCCGGAATTTATCAGTGAAATATGGTCCCATTTCTTTTATGTATGTTTCAGTCTGACCGCGTGAGATAGAAAGGAACCAAGCGACAGCAGCTATCGGCAAATGAAACTGGGCAATTTAATTTTTTACATGAAAACGGTTCTGCAGATTCGTGTGTGAATTTCAGTGAATTTTCTGCATAGCTCGAAGGAAATTCCTCAACATTTTCAAATGAATCCGCACAAACGTTCTCTTGTAAAAAGTTAAATCGCCCAGTGAAATTTGGCAATAGCTGATAAGGCTTGGTTTCTTTTTGCTAGACATGGTCTAATTGACTTTTCGTCTTCCAATGATTCTTTGACGAAACATTCTACAGTATGATTATTTTCCTCTTTTATACGTAATCATACAACAGGTTTTTAGACATTCAATTCTAATCAAATTTCATTCATCCTCATTTCCAGGACAAAGTTATAGATTACTGGGGCTACAAAGGAGAGACTCACTATGTCACGACAGAGGACGGTTACATTTTGGGAATGCACAGGATAGCAAATAACCCGAATTCAAAGTATCCTCCAGTTTTTCTTCAAGGTGGTCTCCTCACTGCTTCCGATTTGTGGGTTCTCCGCGGTCCTGAAGAAGATATGGGTGAGTAAGCACTAAATAAAACAATTTAAACAATTAGTTCATTCAAGAAAAAAGCGTATTTTCTTTTCGCAGTCCCGAGAATACTGAATTTTTTTTCTTGGTGGTTTTTTCTTAAATGACGGTGAACTTCTATTTAAATTAATTTTTGTGAGGCTGAAGTCTCAATAATTACCTCTGAAACAGTAAGACCACAACACAAGTTTTGAATTGGGTACCACTTGGGAAGAGGCGACGACGGGGATGTCCCGTAAAGGGATAGCGGCAGGGCGTTGATAAAGAAATGTTGCGGTGTCACTTGCCCGATAACCTCATGGAGGATAGGCATAGGTGGCGGTTGGATGTAGCAGAACGCCAGAGTACGTTGAAGGAGCTACTTTCAATATATAACAGTAAGAGCACAATTTTACCTCTCTGACTATTACCATAATAAAATGAAAATGTATCTACATTCCCCTATTATAGCTCTTATTGCATGACATAGGAGTTTACGGTTTAGGTACTTTTACTCGAGTATAATTGGACTGCATTTTGCAATTTAGAGCTAAAAATTCTGGCTCATCTGAAAAAAACTTTTATGTGCATGGAAAATGTAATGGCACATACGTTGTTTTAAAACCGAGCCGAAATGTATAGTCCCTAATTGCAAAATGTAGTCCAATTTTTCAAAAAACAGAATACTATCACTGGTTTTCTCTGAAATGAATTCCCAAGCTCAAAGAAAGCTCTCAACTTTCAGCTCTTAATAGTGAAAATCCCCTACATTATGACGTCAGTCAACCTTTGTATCCGGTCAAATTCCGCATGCAAGGGTCTAGACATAGGTTAGCAGGGTTGACTGGCTGTAGCCTTGAAAACTCCACACAAATCAGGAGACCTTGCTATTGTATTGGCTCTCTATTTATGCATGTAGGTTTGACCGGATATAGAGGTGGACTTTCTCACATATTGGTAATCCTTCCATGACAACCTCAGCTTTAAAGACTTTTTTTGAGATTGGAAGTTTTTTGTAGGGAAACCCAGTGACAACATCGTATTTCTCGCAAAATTTTGGGTCGGAAAAATTACCGAAATCGTAAATTCCTGTGGCATGAAAGATAGCTTCATTGTGTAACATAGTGATAAATTAACACGTCTAATTTTTTCTTTTTGTTATTTCTTTATGTGCTGCTTCCTAAGTATATAAATGCACAAATAAGAAAGGTGAGAAGAATCATCTAACATTGTGACCTCACCACATTAAATTAACATCTTCTGTCCGTCAGATTGGATACGTGATGATAATTAGAGGATTCCATATAAACGATTGTCAGGCCTTTTACACAGAGGTTAATTTATGCCTCCTTGGACGGTAATTAAAGTGAGAAAATTGCTGTCCTGGGTTCCATATCCCCTCATGCATTTGAAGTAATTGGATAAAATTGAACAAACAGGACACATTTATATTAAGAGGTTTTTTTTTTTTTTTTTTTTTTTTTTTTTTTTTTTAAGAGACCTATGTACAATAGTCAGAACTGGCAACGGAAACTAGATAAGGTCGCAGCAAGAGGAAAAAAGTGAAAGCAGAAGGGGGCGCGACGATTTGACTGCTAGTTGATTATAGAAATTGATCGACAAAAGTATAGAAAAAAGGTACAAAGAGAAAATGTAGTGGGTGTAAGCGGGTAGTTGCGAGGGACAAAGGAGGTAGTAGTGCACCATGGTCTTGAACCGAAAATAATTTGACAAAAATGTAACCGAAAACAGTTTGTAGTCAGTGAATCTACGGTACGTACAGACTTAAAATCACGATAAATCAAAATCTAGGCTGATACAATTTTCGAGATACCGCACTTTGATATTCAACTTCCCTGCAAGACTGAAAAGTTGTAGCGCCGTAAATTATATTTTGCATTTAAACTTAGTTCATCGTGAAAAGTTTCTCGAGAATCCCCCATAAAAGACCATAAAATACAACTATCTAATGGTGACAACATTAATTAAAGAGTTAAATTTTTTCCAACGTTTATAACACGGTTGTTTTCAATTTACCTTTAGCTGCGTCCGCAGTAATTGTTGTTACGAATATGTTGTGCGTGCTGATTTCAGTGCATTACATACTTGGCTCTTTGACGGCGTTTCATGTGCACGAGCAATACGCCTTCAGTTGCGTCTGCAGCAATTGTTGTTACGAATATGTTGTGCATACTGATTTCAGCCCATTACATACTCGAATCTCTGAAGGCGTTTTATATGTGTCCAAGTAGCGTGATCTGTTGGAGAACACCAGAAGTGAGATTGAGTGAATCGCTCAGTCTCTACTTCATTCTTTCTCCAACAGATCGCACTACTTGTGCACATAAAACGCCTTCAGAGTGTCGAGTATGTAATGACCTAAAATCAGCACGCACAACATATTCGTAACAACAATTGCTGCAGAAGCAGCGGAAGGCGAATCGTTCAATTAAAAAAGGGTACAATAGGAAGTCTGCGTGCAACGATAGAATATGTATTCAATCGACACGAATCAAACGAAAAATAAAAACATAAATCGATTGACGTAAACCGATCGACAGCGATGGACACATAAATAAAAAACTGGATCGAAATCGGTAGAAAACTTGTATTTACTATAAGAGTTCCTAATTGCAATATCTCGAAAATGGGATCGGCCAAGATTTTGATTTCTTGCGATTTTCAGTCTACACCATAGATTCATCCCGTACAAACCGTTTTTGGGTACATTTTGTAGAATTATTTTCGCTTCAAGATCACTGTGAGTAATTACTGATAGATCGTCAACCCACGAGAGACCACGAGTTAGTCCTTCCTTTCCCCCTTAGTCTTTGTGAACCACCCATTTTACCTTATAGGATCGTTTCATTATTTTCTTGTCTTTTACATCTTATCCATAAGTTTCAATTACTAACCCTCTGGAGAAATTGGCATTTTTACTGAGAGGTCCAGTGCCGACATGCCATGCTTGATTTCAACTACTTATCGGTTAAATAAATTTTGACGGCTTAAGCACCGTGCATATTCCATCTTCCTTGTGTAAAATGAATCATGCTGTGATAAAAGACGACGGGGAACAATTCACTTTGAAAACGCTGCATGAAAATGAGATAACATAAAAAAAGAAAACAACCCGAGGGAATGAAGATATGAGAGATAATAAATTAATTACATGGTAATTTTTAGTTACCTGCGTAGTTTCTTTTCTTAGCGCTGCATAACATGGTACGAATATCGGGCTAAAAAATCAATAAGAGGGTTTGGAGGACAAGGCACATATGTGCAGTTTTTGAAAAATTGAGATATTATGAATTCGAGTAAAGCTAATCTTAATGCAAATTTTGTGAAATATTTTCTCCAAAATTCCAATTTTTTAAGCATTGAAATTCAATTTAAACTTTTTTCCGTCATGATAAGATCCGTGTGATTTCGAAAGTTTAAACACGTATTTCTCAAAATAGCAAAAACTAAACTTATGTGCTTTGTCCTCCAAACCTCTCATATATCCTTTTATATAGTCCTTTTACAAAGGCGTTTGGTACTCTGTTATCTCCGCTCCAATCCTCCTTTATGTTTAAAAAAAAAGTATATTGATACAATGGGAACTGACACTATTTAATTATTTATTAAATTAAATTATTAAATCTTTTCGAATAAAATCCGTGAAATTGCATAGTATCACCTTCAGATTCAGACAAGGCTTTTAGTCGCTTAAACCCATATCAGTATGCCTTAATATTTATTGATTCATATGAACTTCACGAATCGAATGCCGTAGTCCATCAGTGGCGATGTTTTTCATTTGCATTATTGAATTAATGGAATTGCTCATATTTACGGCTTGTTTTTCCAATTTTGGATTCTTTGCCAAAGATTTCAAACATACTGAAAGGCAATGGCACAGGTGTTAAATTGATCAACCGATATGTAAATTTTTTGTTATTTTTCCTTACGATTTCCTGCCGGTCCTTGTCTTACGACTGAACGGTTAGCTTACTTAAGGGAGCATTAGTGGAGAATAAAACGAGATATGAAATGCGGTGTCGGTTGGATAGTGAAATACATGGTTGCGATGGTATATTGAAAAAAATCTGTTGCATGCATAACTCAGCAAAGGTAGCTGACTTAGAGGCCCTTTTTGGATTTTTTATTTTTTGTACAGAGTTTTAAAGGTCTATACGATGCGTCGTGAATGGTTCAATAAATCCAATTTTTAATGCTATGTTTGAAATTGCATGATTCCGTACTCACCACTGCTGCAACTTCAACCATTTAAACGGAGGGGCAGTTTAAAGAATTTATGGAAATACTCCTCACCCATTACTTTTTTTCAAATTATGAGGATATTTTTCTCTGTTATGAACCGACAACTTACATAAAATCATAGATTTGCAAGTCAGTTCTCTTATATTTATAGTTGCAAACTGACGCTGAGGCGAAAAGAGGAATGTAAGAAGTAAGATAGGGAAAAAGTGTAAACAACACTCTTATCGAATTATGCATCTTTTCCCAAGGAAAGAAAAGCGAGTGACAAGAAAAAATAAGGGAGGATTCTTAAAAAGAGGGAGGAGGTCAGGTAAATAGTTTTCTCGCATGCAGGGTTGTCAGATTGGGGGATCGACTGGTTTTAAACGATGAGCGTTTGTTCAAAATATTAGCAAAACTGGTTCGTGGGTGATGTGCGTATATGAATCAATTGTTTTCAAAAGGGAACAGGTCCACTCCTCGATGAGTCCTAGTTAGCATGTCCTTTTATCCAAGCCAAGGTTCAAGCAAAAATGGACTTGTTCCCTTTTGAAAACAGCGGATTCATATAATGCTAATCCTCTGCGAATCGGACTGCGAATCGATCGCCTGCGGGGTGAACGGCCTCGCAAAAATACAAATTATTCAAAACACATAACAGATTGGTATGGCTCAATATTTTATTCTCCCGCACATTATTTCACACGCATTTTTTATTCATTCGCCAACAAAAATATTTTTTGTCGCTTCGAATGGTGCAATATAGAATCACCGGACGTGCCTCCAAGATTATTCATGAATGCTCAATTTTCATCCGTGAGGAGGGAGAGATTTCAACATTGCCAAAATGTTGTGTAAATGTACCAATTTCTAGTGTGATTGAATTTTGAAAAGTTGTTTTTATTCCATTACACAGCATTCATGTTGGCTGATTTGGGCTATGACGTGTGGATGGGCAACGCAAGAGGCAGTACCTACTCGAAAAACCATACAACTCTGTCCCCGAAATCGACTAAATTTTGGCAATTTAGGTAAGTAAATATTTGATAGTTTTTTCCTTTTTTTTTTTAGATCTTACACTGAAAAAAAAACTCCGGCCGTTGAAGCCGTACTTATGGGCTATATAGACGCACCGTCCGCATTCCGGGCTCAGAGGCCGAAAGTTTCGGGCAGAGCACCCGGAGCAATCGTAGCTACGGCTTCAGCACCCGGAACTTTCGGCCTCCGGGCCCGGAACGACCGGTATGACTATATAGTCCGTAACTTCTTTTTCAGTGTAACAGAGCCAATTTACACTAATACTACTCGCGACAAATCAGATAAGGATATGATCTGCGAATCAGTCTGTTGTACATTTAGGATTCAGCCAACTGAGTAAACGCTTTTAGGTAAACGTCGAATTACACAAAAATCACATTGCGCACATTAAAAATTTCAAAATTACACCTTGAAACGCATTATTTTCTGAATTTTTATCTCGGATTCACAAATTTTAAATTGTTTTACCTCAACTTATGTTTTTGAACTACGAACTTTAAACCGCTCCGGTCAAGTTTGACCAAAAATGTTCGAAGGACTCAACTTTGAGTTTTCATGGACAAGATACCTTTCGGCGACTTTTAGCTGATTTTAAGGTGAACAAAATCAACCTATTGGGAAGAAAACAGATGAAATGTGCCCTTACGTGAGAGTGTGTAATTGTTTGCTTAATTTTTTTTGTGGTTGTGTGCGTTTCAGTGCCCAAAATTTAAAATGAAACCAATGGTTCAGCAAAATGTGTTCAGAATCTCGAGATTTGCTTATTATTGCCGATAGATATACCTGTAACCAGATACTGCTTGCTTGCAATACAGCCACCACAATCGCGAAAATGGGTGGCGACTGGCGAAATAAAGCGTTGTTCAAGGTGATGTTTTAGAAGTTCAAGCGCGTAAACGGCCACCTCGAACTTGATACGTGAAGTTCATGTCCCGCGTGACCGCTGCCGCTGCCGCGATGAGAGATGAAACTTGTCACTTGCAATGCGTGCGCCCGATGTGCTGTTGTCGATAAGTGCAAAGCGAGAAGAGACTCAGCTCACGGATAAGTTAGGAATATGTTGAAATTTCAAACCGTTTGACACCAACGGAAGATGTAACATTTTCAGGTTTCTCACGCTTCAAACTCAGTTGTAAACACGTCCGTTGCCCTGGAAATTACCATTAAACTCGAGTTTATGGTCCTTTTGGTTTCCCTGTTCGGAGGGTATCGTTTTCCTTCTTACATTGTTTTTCCTTATTTTCTTTTCATGAAAAAGAAAAGGTTTGTAATCACGGTAATTGGTTATCAGTTAATTAATAATGTGATAACAACTGGGATCCGGTCACCGCACTCAATTTTTTTATTATTTTTCATTTTTTCTGCAGCTGAAAATGACCTTGTAATACCGCAAAACGCCCTGCTCTTTAATTTTACTTTATGTAATAAAATAAACTATAATTTTTAATTTTAGCCTTAATTATCAGCTCATGTCTCTGGCTTTTACTCTCCCGTGTTCCTATTTTTGAGCTATGTAATTCACGTATTTTTTATATCCACCTGGAAATATATATCTTGATACCGAACAGTGGATTTTAGAAAAAGGTGACCTCATTGGGATTAAGCGAGATAGGTGACCGTTGAATAGAACCCGAGGTTACTGCGATGCCACTCTGATTTCGAGGGCATAACTAAGGATTTTAGGCTCACTCTGTGCACTTAAAATGCATCTCCTTGGAGAGGAAGGAAGAAGGGTATAATGGTGATTTCAACCATCGGCCGAGGAGGGGATCCGGTGGGCCTCCGTGAATAAAATTTGAAATTCGACAGCTTTTAAACGCAGATAGAGACGTTTTTGGCACACATTACAATGGTAAAGAAGGAAAGAAGAGAGGGGCCCTTACAGACTAGACTGTAAGCACATGAGAAACAAGTAAAACTACTATGGTCGAAAAAAAAACGATAAAAGCTTATGTTGGAGGGGTCGGGAAAACAGTTTTATGTTGTGGGCTCCTTTAAGATACGGGCCCTTAAGTGCATGCCTAGAGGCGCGCCGCGCCTATGAAGTGAATCCGGCCCTAAGTTGCCATCGATGGTGGCATTAGAGGAATCCGCTGACTTTCATGACGTATGACTTAAAGCGTCCAATAATTATAGAATAACTTATTTTTGAGACTAACTGGCAATCAGGCGCGAAGTCCGCCGAATCTTCGCGGGATTCACCTGCGTTTTGCTCACCGGTGAGCCCGGTGACTCACTGCTCATCAGATGCATCACTTGATGCCGGGTGCGCCCGTGTTTTCCGCATCAGCCGTAGTCCGGGACAAAATCGTTCCCCTAATTGGCATGCGTAGTGCACGTCAAACAAGTCCGCGTAGTAGTCCGACCAATCGTGCTAATAAGGATTGATTTAATAGCAGCTCCAAAAAGTAGACGAATTTTAAACACGAGGAAATGGCACTATCGATCTGTACAGTTACGTAATTCTAACGGTTTTCGGGTACCTAGATTACTGATCACTAAAATGAGGATCGTGTTGGAATATCCGACGCTCAAGGAGACTTGGTGTCACGGAGTGTGAAACGAGTCTCCTCTTGATGATATGCAATCACGATGAATTTATAATCTTTCGCCTCTGAGTATTGATATCATTCATTCAAACTTAAAACAACTTTAGTGGGAAAGCTGAAATCGTGGAAAGAGTGTGCGCGATGGACAATGTGTCTCTCGTTCAGTGGACCGATCAAAAATGCACTCAAAGTCAACTAAATGGGGATATATTTCACATGCAGGGTATCTTCTGCGTGCAAAATATCTATTGGAAACCAGAAAAATGAACTCAAGGAAAAGTTATGTGAATTCCCGAAAAAGTACAATATAGGTACCTTAAAATGAGTGGAATGCATTCAATGTTTTTTTCCGATATTCGACGAAATAAGCTCTCAAGTTGAGAATACTACAATCATTGGAAAAGTTAGTTTGAGCATAACCAGGTGCCGTGAGAGGAGATAAAATGGGCCTGGCAGTCACTTTGGTATTGAAGCCAAAAAAAATGCGACAAAAATGTACCCGAAAACAGGTTGCAGGGGGTAAGTCTATGGCACGTGTAGACTTAAATTCGCGAAAAATCACAATATTGGCTGATCCCATTCTCGAGATATCGCAATTTGAAATTTTCACAGTAAATGCAAGTTTTCTACTGATTTCGATCCGTTTTTTTCTTATCCATTCGTTCATTGAATCGATGTCAATCGGTTCATGTCGATCGATCCACGTTTTCATTTTTCGTTCGATTCATGTTGATCGAATACATACCCTCTTGGTACATGCAGACTACTTATCATACTATTTTTTTAGCTAAACGAGCCTTTTACTGCGTCTGCCGCAATTGTTATAACGAATATGTTGCGCGTGCTGATTTCAGCTTATTACATACTTGACTCTCTGAGGGCGTTTCACGTGCGAAAGCAATTCACCTTCAGCTGCGCCTGCAGCAATTGTTGTTACGAATATGTTGTGCGTGCTGATTTCAGAGCATTACATACTCGACACTCTGAAGGCGTCTTATCTGCACAAGTAGCGCAATCTGATGGCAAACACCAAAAGTGAGATTGAACGAATCGCTCAATCTCTACTTCGTTCTTTCTCCAACAGATCGCACTACTTGTGCACATAAAACGCCTTCAGAGTGTCGAGTATGTAATGATCTAAAATCAGCACGCACAACATATTCGTAACAACAATTGCTGCAGGCGCAGCTGAAGGTGAATTGCTTTCGCACGTGAAACGCCCTCAGAGAGTCAAGTATGTAATAAGCTGAAATCAGCACGCGCAACATATTCGTTATAACAATTGCGGCAGACGCAGTAAAAGGCTCGTTTAGCTAAAAAAATAGTATGATAAGTAGTCTGCATGTACCAAGAGGGTATGTATTCGATCAACATGAATCGAACGAAAAATGAAAACGTGGATCGATCGACATGAACCGATTGACATCGATTCAATGAACGAATGGATAAGAAAAAAACGGATCGAAATCAGTAGAAAACTTGCATTTACTGTGAAAATTTCAAATTGCGATATCTCGAGAATGGGATCAGCCAATATTGTGATTTTTCGCGAATTTAAGTCTACACGTGCCATAGACTTACCCCCTGCAACCTGTTTTCGGGTACATTTTTGTCGCATTTTTTTTGGCTTCAATACCAAAGTGACTGCCAGGCCCATTTTATCTCCTCTCACGGCACCTGGTTATGCTCAAACTAACTTTTCCAATGATTGTAGTATTCTCAACTTGAGAGCTTATTTCGTCGAATATCGGAAAAAAACATTGAATGCATTCCACTCATTTTAAGGTACCTATATTGTACTTTTTCGGGAATTCACATAACTTTTCCTTGAGTTCATTTTTCTGGTTTCCAATAGATATTTTGCACGCAGAAGATACCCTGCATGTGAAATATATCCCCATTTAGTTGACTTTGAGTGCATTTTTGATTGAGCGATTCGTTCAATCTCACTTTTGGTGTTTGCCATCAGATTGCGCTACTTGTGCAGATAAGACGCCTTCAGAGTGTCGAGTATAATGCTCTGAAATCAGCACCCACAACATATTCTTAACAGCAATTGCTGCAGGCGCAGTAGAAGGCGAAATGTTCAGCTATAAAAATAGTATGAGGAAGCCTGCATCCTGAAGGTCGCAACAGGCCCATTTGAGAAAGCTAGCCCGCTCAAACAGTGAATATATTACTCAAAGTCGCTACTCGAGTAAAAGTTGACTGCAGAAGAAGGATGATCGGGAGGACAGTTTGAAAAACATGACGTCATGTTGTCCGTTCTTCCTGCAGAAGGTTGCATAGGGTAAAAATCAATGTATCCGGCATATATTTCTGAGAAAACTAACCAATGTTTCTTGTGGATTGCAGTTGGCACGAGATGGGGTACTACGATCTTCCGGCGGAGATCGACTACATCCTTGAGAAGACGAAGAAGCCGGCTCTGTTCTACGTGGGCCACTCCATGGGCACGACTCAGTTCTACGTGATGGCGTCCGCCCGCCCGGAATACAACGACAAGATCGTCGTCCACTTCAGCCTGGCCCCCGTCTGTTTCATGGGCAACATGAAATCCAACAGAGTCATCATGCCTCTCGCCAAAAATGTCAAACTCATCTCGGTAAGTGCGTGTCAGAGACATTTCACTCTGGATCAGACTGCAGTTATTCGCATCGCGTTTACCAGATTTTAAACACACTGTAAAAAAAGTTGTGGGTTAGATAAACATACCGTCTGTTCTGGGCTCAGAGACCGAAAGTTCCGGATGCTGGAGCCGTAGCTTTAATTGCTCCGGATGCTGCGCCCGGAACTTTCGGCCTCTGAGCCCAGAACGCCTACGTAGCCCGTAAGTACGGCTTCCACGGCTGGAGTTTTTTTTCAGTGAATGGGTCACTGTATCGTGAACGAGTTTTGACACGTAGACACTGTTTTCTGAAGGTAAACGACGAGCAGAACACAATGTACACTTTAAATACGCGGAAATGTAACTTAGGAATTGAGAAATATGCAGTTCAAAAAGCGCAACTTTTCCGTAATTTTAAAACGCCCTGGTTTTGCGCCGCACTGAATGATGTCATCTGGCACCTATCAGAATGGGGCAAGGGTCTCTACGACTTCCGTCAAATGTACGTATTTTTGCCAAACGGAACTATTTACATTGAGACGTGTCTGTTTGGCAGAAATACGTCCAAATGTCTATCTGTGTATGTAAGAGCCGCTTTTACGGCGCGCTAGGGCGCTCTGCGACGCCTACTCTCTACAGGCATCTGTCATGGTAGAGATCCTCCAAATGTCTTTCTACTTCTCGTATGTGAAGGCAATAGAAAAGTCGGAACTATGTCTTTAGAATCAAAGAATCGAATCTCATTCGTGTTATCTGAAGATAGTAAGCAACAAATTCACATTTAAATACGTTTTATTTTAACGAACATCAGTGAAAAATGAGAGGAGATAGCGATTTGACTGCCGTAGCACACATCATTTCCGTTATTTTTAGCCGGAATGGGCCAAAGGGATGTGCCTTTTCTGATTTGCGTTTATTGGGGGAATTTTCCCGTTCATGAAGATAACTGGAAAATTTTCCCTGAGTAACTTCATTCTCGTTGAATTTTTTATCTTTGAAACCCGCCTCCCTCTATGGGACTTTTTTGACCGTAGACCCTCAACCCTCCTGATTCCATTAAAAATGATTGATTACACCAAGGATCATGGCATTGTTGTGCACACTCGCGAACATACTTCGCCCTGCACGGGAGATAACGCAATTCTCCCTGCACTGTTACGAGTGTGGTATCATCCGAAAATGAAGGAAAATTTAAGGCCCGTTCACATGATGACCATGCACGCAAACTCAACACTTGGTTTCATTCGTCAACCAAAAGAATTTTAACACAGCATCAAGCCACAAAATCTGCACATCTACCGGCTGTTCATATAAATTCAAATTTCATTGATATTTTCCATTTTTTTTATGATTACTGTCTTAATCAATTTTCATTTTTTCACGGATTAGCGGGACTTCCCTCGCTAATTTTTCTTGTGACGTATCCATGATATAAGGTCTGTTTAAGTAGAAACCAGATTTTGGTGATAAGTAGCGCATCCTACGTCCAAAGAAGATTTTCTTGGACTCTCCTGAAAGCTGACAACATGTGGCAAAACTTTACATTCACAAATTTGAAAAATTCAAACCACCCTTGTTGATACACGGTTCGGAATGAGACAACCTCACAAGCTTTCCGCGGTTTCTCAGGAATTCCTGCCGTAGAGTAATCACTTGCTCACAGCCATTGTTTTTAGTAGCCAATTCAAATAAAAATTGTTATTTTTATTTATTATAGATTGCTAGTTATCAACAAAATCCAGTTTCTAATTGAACATACCTGGTATGTTTTTTCATGTCCATCTGTCAATAAAATGCTCGTGGGCTCATGTACTCATTATTTTCCAAATTTCAAGGATTTCATTTCTATAGTTAGTTTATTGATATTTTTTCTTAAAACTTGAGCAGTTAAATACTCAATTGAATTTATAAACTCTCTCTATTTTTCAGTCATTGTCCAAAGGCACAGGATTGGTTGAATTCTTCCCGCGAACTCCGGAATTCAGTAATTTCCTTTGGAAAGTAACCCATGATAAAAATTTCCAAACATTTTTCTGGAGTCAGCTGTTTGAAGTTGTCGGCACAGACTGGAAACTCCTAAATATGGTTAGTCAAAATTGTTTGCACCTCAAACTCCAGTGTTTCTTTTTCCCCCTTTTCCCATAAAATTACCGAGAGAATTTTCCGCCCTCTGCTGTAACAGTGGCGTGATGTGCTATGTAATAAATCGATTGGTCTGCCATTTAAATCTATATGGTAAAGAGTCGATAAACAGGATGTCCGCAACAAACACCTTAACAATCGATTTTTTACCATAGCTGCAAATGGAAAAATATCGATAATCAGTCATTCACGCATCGCGACACGAGAGTCAGGTCCAAATATTAATGAGGCAGTGGTCAAAAACCTCTGAAGTTTGAAAAATCATGCTCTTCGGTGTTTTACCTCCATCCCTTACGATACTCAAGTAGAGTGCAAAACTTTAAGTAGACTCAGATTGTTTTAATATGACGGTGGGAATTCTTGAGATTTCTCTTAGGTCTATAAAGAAAGAAGAGGAACATCTGGATTGAAACTTTCGATTCTTGATTAGTACAAGTACAATTTGTGGATCAATTTTAAACCCATAGCCAAACTTTCACAACCGAAACTATGGAGCTTTAGTATCAATTTTTTGGAAAAAGGATCTCTCCGCTATTACGATTGTATCATCTTACATACGTATTATTTTATCATTAATTATGATATTTCTTCATTTTTGCAGACTATTATGCCAACTTATCTGAGTCACTTGCCTAGCGGTTGTTCCGTTCAAACGTTGGAGGCATATGGTCAAACAGTGTTACTAAAAGGTAAGAATATGTGCCTAAAACATAAACTTACCTTCATAATTTACATAAGCGTACGTTCCGCCTGCAAATAGGATTTTTGCTATAAATTTCCATGTACCACAAAAAGACTAGTTTGATTCAGAAAGAATTAAAATTTTCTTTGAAAAAAATAAAAAATAAAAAATTGAAGATGTATCGAGTTATTTTAAGAGGAATGATCCCTAATTTCCCTGGTAAAAATTGCCAGTAGAATCTGTGTTCCAAAATACCATAGACCTACAGCCGGCTGTAAGATTTCCATAGCTTCTATAGCCGGAAGCCGGCTACACAATTTCTTATAGCCTTTTATAGCCGATGGCGACTAAGCAACAGCCAGGCGATAAAGTGTATGCTAAACGTTACTAATTACGGATGCTACGACTTAGTGAGTTTTTGGAATACTGCTCTCTTTTTTGGCCGTAGTATCTTGATTTATTTTGCGAGGAATGCTCCGTACTTTTGATGGATGCCTGAATGCCTGCCATTACTAATATATTAGAGCGCCTTCAGTTTCGTATGATACTGTGCAACACCTCTGGTGTGAAATAGTTGCTTCAAGCGCCGTGGCAGGCGGGCAGCCGGCGCGACTACGACCTAACAGGGATACTTCACGCGTTGCGCAATGCGTGAAGTATCCCTGTTAGGTTTGTAGGCGCCAGTGCGTCGCCGCTCCGCTTTGTGTTAGGCTCTAGTATTTAATCTGGCGGAGTCAGCGTTATTCAACTCATGATTTTGAAATGTTTGCACATGCTGTATGGATTATTCTCATTTTAATTGATAAAAAAAAATATGTATTAAAGGAAAATATAACGTGTGTTTTGTAAATACGAGGGGCGTTCAATAAGTAAGTATCCCCCCCTCTCTAAAATCCATAAGAATGGACCAATTTTAAAAAACTTGGGCTCAAAATCTTCCTTAGGATATTTTGAGTTCAAAAAAACAAACCGCAACAAAATCGGACTATGTGCGGCCGAACGCGAGCCGTTTGAACGCGCCGAGGTGCTCGACGCTCCCGCCGAATCTGCGAGGATTTGAAGTCCGCTACAGGAGAAGAGCTTCTCTGCCAAGGCCTCAGTCGTTCATCACTGACGAAAAATCAAAGAAATTTTTGTAGAA